TGTTTTGCTTCTGCCGAGCTGATTTTTCTGGTCTGGATGTTAGCTAATTAACTAAGCAATTGTGCATGTGAGAATTACGGGCAAAATAAAAGGCTTTAACTGAAGAAAATATCGGATGATGAACTAAGGAGCTTAGAAAATTCTGTTTTGTTGAGAATGATTCTGCCGAAAGAATGGTTTGGAAATGCAACTGAAATTCTGTTTTTCTTGTGATAACCTGAGCACTCAAGTGTATTTAGCCAAGTAGAACTTAATGTTTATGATGTCTAGGACCCTGCATGTTAATTCGATGAAGTTGATTGATGAATTAAGGAACCTAAGAAATTCTGGTTTGATGAAAACCTTCTGCCGAGACTAACTAAGAAATGATTTGCTTAATTTGCTTAAGTATGACAAGCTGTGGTTACAATCTTAACTATCCAAGTGAAGACGAAATGCTTAAGGGCCTGCATGTTGAGTTACATGATTGGACAATGAAACTAGGAACTTGGAAAATAAAATGAAAGCCGAAAAATTGGTTCATGAATGATCATTCGAGAATAGTTGGTAAAATTTCTGGATTTGTGTTAGTTGAGTCTAATCGTAGCTTGAACCTGGATTTGATTTGAAAACCTCTACTAGCTAGCTACGTGTTTACATGTCCTAATAGAGTACCAAAAATTCTGTTTTAACCAAAGAAAATTCTGTTTTAGAACCATTGTTATTTCTGGAAATCTTGAGAGAAGCCGTGAGGTTTAAACCTGGAAATTTTGGGGTTTGTAACCATGGTTTAAATTCAACTCTTAAACTGGAAATGTTCATTATCTTGCTATGTGTTTAAATGCTGAATTTGAGTAACTAACACCATGATTAAACCAAGGGAAAAATTCAAACTAAAGTAGATTGGTTGCTGGAAATTTTGGGTGATAGCCGAAGGGGTATGAACCAGAATTTCAATATCGTTGGAAAATTTCAATTTGTTTCTGGAAATTTATTTTATTTCCTTGGATTATGGTGGCTCAGAATTTCATAAGAGATACAAATTTTAAGATATACAATTTGTTCAGCAATGAACCAATTAGTACATATAAAGCTGAAACCAAAAACGCTAGTATACAATTGCTGGAATTTTCGTTGAGATAGCCGAGAATTGAGTTGAAAAATTTGCTTGGTTCTTGGAAATTTTTCTTGAAAAATGATGCTTGGAATATGTTGTTTTGGAGCCCTATAAGAAATGTACGCTGGTTTGAATAAAAACTTTTGGTGTGAAAAGAAAAGAAAAAGGAGTTTTTCATAAGTGAAAAATGAAACTCCAGATTTTCGGAAGTCCCTGACCAGTCTCGATAAAACGGTTATATCTTGGTGTAGGAAAATCCGTTTAAGGCGCCGTCAGCGGCATTTGAAACTAGAATCATAGATCTTCGCCCTGTAGAAATTTCGAATTTTTTACTCCATGTGTACTATTGTCGGTGAATTTTCAAAGTAAACTGTTTGGCATGAATGACCTGTTTCATTTTAAATCTCAACTTGAATTCGGATTGAGACCTTATATTACTAGTGGTTCAAACTCTTGACTGAATTGTGGTTTGACCCTAGGGTGTTCCTGAAATTTTCAAAGGATTAGAGGGTAAGAAGGTACTTGCTAAACGTATGCTTAAGCCTGGCTAGTGAAACAATTTCTACTCGTATTCCAATGTCCGCAAAGCTAATGGTCGGCATTATTTTTCATCGAAGCATAATGTGTCGAAATTGGTTGATGGTGGGCTCTATGAATTCCCACCCTGCATGGATAACTGAATTACTGAAATTGTTTAGAAATCTGTGCTACTATTTTGTGAAACTGTGAGTTGATATAAGTACTGATTACCAAGTGCTAAGTATTGACGAAGCCTTGGTAAATTTTCCTGCTTATGCTTAGATATAAATTTGTTGGAACACACGGCTAAGAATTGACGAGCCCTAGTGTTATTACTGTTTAAATTCTAATTGTGCAATATTGAGGAAATGTGATTTTGGATTGGAATCGAAAATGTGAGAAGTTGTACCGACCTTATGACTCCAAGTAAACGCTTGACTAAGTAAATGAAAAATATTTTGCTTTAAGTCTCGAACGGTACAGATTTAGCATCGTATCGCTAAACATAGTGTCTATTATTTTTGCCTTAGAAACTTGGGCAACATGACTTTTATTCCTTAAGTTAGACTAGCCTTATCAATTTGGGAAAATGATTCTCCCAGACTCAAAACCTTAGTTTTGTTCCAAATTCCTTCCTTCTTTATAAATCGTTTAAGACTAGTCGGAACTAAGGAAAATTTAAAAGGTGAAACTCGATCACTTTAGTTTTAAACGTAGAAACCTGCTTGGCAAGAAGAAAAAAACCTTATTTTAGCAACATTTTTCAATAGACCTTACCCTAAAGCCTTAGCAAAGATTTTTGTAGGCACAACCACTCCAATGAACTTTTTCCAAGGTATACTTTTAGCCTTGATATTAATTATCTTGCCGACTTATTTTAAGAAAATAATAATAGTATTTTCTTCGAGGAAAAGTATTCCAGGAATATTATAAGAAACTATTGTATGGTTCTCCCAAGCTCGATTCCAAGTAAAATATTTTGAGAAAAAGTGAACTAGCAGCATGCTAGAAAACTCTACATGTGCAAGCCAAAAGTTCCAATAGAAAACTTATGGCTTAAATTCTGATATTCTAGGATTTTACGAGGACGCGGAACTCGATCCTCAATCCAATATCTGAACTTCACTCTTGGTGAGTGTCCCTGCTTGTTCTATGTTATGTGGTTAAGCGCTTTATCAATTCGCTATGTGATAATTGTCAAAATGTAATAAATGATTTTGATCCATCGAAGTGAGCAGTGTGTACTTTATCGCACTAGCCGTTCGAGTGGTGACATGTGTGAAACATTTTCTACTGAATCTGTGAATCTAAATGTAGTTGCGTCGCTGGGTGAATCCCTCGACATCTGAATCCAACTACCATAACATCTGAATCTGTAGTTGCGTCGTTGGGTGAATCCCTCGACATCTGAATCCAACTACCATAACTTCTGAATCTGTAGTTGCGTCGTTGGGTGAATCACTCGACATCTGAATCCAACTACCAAAACGTCGTTGGGTGAATCCCTCGACAAATTTATTACGGGTATATCTCGAGTATACTGCGTCGGTAGATGAAGTTTGGGCCCAAAGCAGAGGTATGAATGGTGACGGGTTAGGATTAAAATAAGTGTATCTACATGGAAACTAAGTAGGGAAAGTTGACGGAGGGTCAACTACGATGGTATCTGATCAAGCGTGGAAAATGGCTCCTGAGAGCCCCTGTGTCCTACCTTGTGCTGTTACACGCTTTCCTAACTGTTTCAATTTGATTTAAATTAGTAACCGCTGTTTGATTTATGTGATTGCATGTTTTGGGGCACCACTGAGCTTTAGCTCACCCCACGTTTATTGTTTTCCTTAACAGGTTCTGGAAACTGAAAGCTGGATGCTTACTCATGTTTTCCTGTTGGATTGTATTTGAGTATTATAACTTATTATGTGGACTGTAATGTGTTATTTGAGATAATGCACTTTTCCTTTGGATTGCCACTTGAAGCTGGAAAATGTGTAACCTTAATTCGATTACTTAGCTTGTAAGCTGTATTATGGATTTATGCATTTTATCTATACGGTTTGCGATGACTTTGTACTTTGGTAAGTAGCACGTAGGACGTTTAAGGGCCTCGACTGGCGATTTTATCATCGCTATCTTTGAAGATAATGTGGCTTTAAGGATGATTCCATTCGAGAAAACTTGTTTTTGTAATAAATTAAGTTATCCTTTGAAAGGATTTGGGCTAGAATGCTTGCGTGAGTCCTGGCGAGATCTGGGCAGACGGCCCGCCAACCCTTTGGTTCGCCTCAGGGGGAAGTGGGGTCGCCACAGGTGGTATCAGAGCCTAGGTTAGAAAAGCTATTCAAGAGACTTAATAGATGTGTTAGAAACCCTAATCCTCTCTAGGAATAAGAATGGAGACCTTAGTTATACATTAAGTGATATCCGATCCAATTAGCTAATTAAGTTCTAACCTCTAAGTTTAATTATTTTGCAAATATGGAGAATGGAAACGGACATGCTAATGGTGGTAGCGTGGCTAATGGTCACGTAGAGCCCCTTAGGTCTATCTCCTACCGGCCTCGAGGTGGAGGAGCTCATATACGTTACTCACCTGCTGACAGGAACCCTAGGTGCCAGTGCCGAGCCATGTACGCGTATCCCAATGAGCTAGTGTTATCCTTAGACAACGAGCGCCGCCAGTTGAGGGACGCTAACTTCACCCTGACCCAGGACGTAGAGGATCTGGGTATAATGGTGGATACTCAGTTTGACCGCATAGCTGATCTGGAGGTTAGGCTCACTGCTGAGCACCATCTACTGGAGGCTGCCCGCTTGGAGATAGAGCGGCAAAAGTCTAGGGCGACTCGATTAGCAGAGAGGATGCGTGATAGGAGCGCAGGCATCAGGGCTGATGCTGCGATGATGATGGATGAGGCCACTAGCTTTATCCAGGGAGGTGAGCAGGCAGGTGTAGAGGAGGATCCGGAAGAGGACCCGGAGGAGGACCCGGAGGAGGATCCGGAGAAGGACATTGCTCCTGATAGCCCTGCTCAGGGTTAGATTAGGACTCACCTGGTTACACTAGACATAGAAGGCTAGGCAAGGGACATTAGTTACGTCATCATGTTTTGTCTAGGTGGATGACTTACCTCCGAGGCACTATACCCCTAATTTTTGGTATAAGGGATTAGCTGTATATATTTATGTTAGCTTAGGTGCCTTATTTCTGGAAATGTCCCAACTTGTTATTTGTATGACTTTTCTGTGGAATTATATGTTAAGTGTTTTATTTATCTTTTCTTTATTTCCATATTGATTTTATTTACCAAAAAGAATGGTAATAATCATAAATAAATAATACTTTTGCCTAATTGACCTATCCTTCCGTAATAGGCATATTTAGAATATGGATCGCCAAGTGATAGGAAGGAGCCGGGGAAGACCCATTAGACAACACCCGGAAGCGGGTGGTGATAGGGAACCCGAGGTCGATCAAGACCAAGGGCAGGAAGGTGTGGCCGGAGATCGGGTGGCCACCGCAATTGACCGTATTACTGAAGTTCTCAAGCGATTGACTGAGCGCCAAACCACTGAACCAGTGCATCAACCAGGAGGCCCAGTTGACTCCGATGATCGGGCACTGGAAAGGTTTTTGAAATTTGGACCTCCCAAATTTTATGGAGGACCCGAGCCGGAAGTGGCCGAAGGCTGGTGGGAGAGAATCACTGAGATTTTCGCCGCCTTGAACTATACCGAGGAGCGAAAAGTGACTTTTGCTACCTTCCAGTTTGAGGGAGCTGCCCGCTCCTGGTGGAACCTGGTAAGGGTTACATGGGAGACTAACCATACGCCAAGGACTTGGGCGAACTTCACAAGGGAGTTCAATGCCAAATTCCTTCCACCTCTCATTCAGGAGAAGAGAGAGGATGATTTCATTAGATGCAAACAAGGGGCGATGAGTGTCGCCGAGTATGAAGTCCAGTTCACAAAGCTGTCACGCTTTGCACCTGAGTTGATAGCCACCGAGCAAAGGCGTGTTCGGAGGTTTGTGCAGGGTTTGAATGTGGAACTACAGGAAAGTTTAGCTGCTGTAAGGATAGATACCTTCGCTGAGGTTGTTGAAAGAGCGCAGCGAGTTGAAGTAGCCAGAGCTCAAGTGAAGTCTTTTCAGTCCAAGAAAAGATTTGCTCCTAGCAGTAGTCGGGAGCCGACTTTTGGGAATGCTCCACCGGCCAAAGTGGACCGAGGAACTAGTGGAGTGAATAGTTCTGGAGCACCACGAGGCGCCCAAGCAAGAGGAAACGGGGCCAGGAATGCAGGAGGACGAAATATTGGAGCTAGAGGGGGACCAATTGGAAGAGGACAACCTAGGAATCGGCCGCAAGGGGGTCGAGCAATAGTTCCTCAAGTGACATGTGCTTATTGCAAGAAACCTGGTCATTCTATGGATAGTTGCTGGAAGAAGCAAGGAAGGTGCTTGAGATGTGGAAGTAGTGAGCACCAAATCTCAGGATGTCCAAAGGTGCAGGAAGGGACTCCTCAGAAAGCTAGACCAAACACTTCTGGAGGGAGCCGGCCAACAGTTCCTGCCAGAGTGTATGCTATAGATGATCAACCCGTACCTGATTCCTCGGAAGTTGTGGAAGGTACACTTCCAATTTTTCATAGATTAGCTAAAGTGTTAATTGACCCTGGTGCAACGCATTCATTTGTAAATCCATCTTTTATGTCTGGAATAGATGTGCAACCCGTTAGATTACCCTATGATCTTGAAGTTAGGACACCAATGGGTAATAAGAAGGTAACCACTAGCTTGACTTATAGGAATTGCGAATTCTGGGTTGGAGAGCAAAAAATGTTAGTGGATCTGATCAGTTTGGATATAAAAGGTTATGATGTTATCATAGGAATGGATTTCCTAGGTCACCATCATGCTAAGCTTGATTGCCGAGCGAAAGTAGTGGAGTTTTGTATACCCGGAGAAGCAACCCTGAGGTTAGATGTCAAAGGTAGGTTAGCATCTTCTGCTATGGTCTCGGGAATACGGGCAAGGAAGATGTTATCTAAAGGAGCTCAAGGTTTCATAGCCTTCTTAATCAATACTCCCAGTGATCAAGTAAGATTAGAAGATGTGCTAGTGGTACGGGAATTTGCGGATGTTTTCCCCGAAGAATTAACGACTCTACCGCCGGAGAGAGAAGTGGAGTTTAAAATCGACTTGGTGCCTGGAACGGCTCCAATTTCTAAGACTCCGTACCGAATGGCTCCTGCCGAGCTTAAAGAGTTGAAAATCCAATTACAAGACCTGTTGGAGAAAGGTTTCGTGAAGGAAAGTGACTCACCATGGGGAGCGCCCGTTCTATTTGTTAAGAAAAAGGACGGGAGTTTGAGGCTATGTATCTATTACCGAGGGTTAAATGAGGTTACTATTAAGAATAAATACCCTCTACCATTGATTGATAGTTTGTTCGACTAACTGCAAGGATCAGTGGTCTTCTCTAAGTTGGATTTAAGGCAAGGGTATTACCAGCTGAAGATTAAGAAGGAAGACATACCCAAGACTGCTTTTAGTACAAGATATGGACATTTTGAGTTCGCAGTCATGCCTTTTGGTTTAACTAATGCACCAGCTGCATTTATGGATTTAATGCAGAGAATTTTTAAGAAATACCTGGACCAATTTGTAGTAGTTTTTATAAATGATATTTTGATATACTCCAAGACTCAGGAGGAACACGTTAAGCACTTGGAGATAGTATTGCAGATACTAAGAGAGCATAAGTTGTATGCAAAATTCAGCAAGTGCGAGTTTTGGTTAGAGGAGATTTCCTTTTTAGGGCATAAGGTTTCCAAAGATGGAATTGCCGTGGATCCGGCAAAAGTTGAAGCCGTTATGAATTGGAAGCGGCCAGAAACTCCAACTGAAATCAGAAGTTTCTTGGGTTTAGCAGGTTATTATAGGCGATTTATCCAGGATTTTTCGAAGATTGCAGGACCTATGACCGAGTTAACCAAGAAAGGAAATAAGTTTATCTGGGCTCCAAAATGCGAGTCAAGTTTTCAGGAGTTAAAGAGGCGTTTAACATCCGCTCCTGTTTTGGTGTTACCTGATGGAGACGAAGGTTATGCCGTGTACTCCGATGCCTCTGGAGAAGGTCTCGGATGTGTTTTAATGCAAAAGGGTAAAGTAATTGCTTATGCTTCCAGGAGGTTGAAGCCTCATGAACAGAACTACCCAACTCATGACCTAGAGTTAGCAGCAGTGATTTTCGCCTTAAAGAAATGGAGACACTACTTGTATGGCGTGACTTTTGAGGTTTTTACAGATCATAAGAGCCTCAAGTATTTGTTCTCCCAAAAGGAACTGAATTTGAGACAAAGGCGATGGGTAGAATTTTTGGAAGATTATGATTGTTCGATCAACTACCATCCAGGAAAAGCAAATGTGGTAGCTGACGCTTTAAGTAGAAAGGCCCAAATAGCGGGGTTGATGGTTAAAGAATGGGACATGCTAGAAGAAATAAGTAATTGGAACCCTCGCTTGGAGAAATTGAAGATATTATTTGGGAATTTATCTCTGAAATCACCATTACTAGAGCGTATTAAGGAGGCTCAGGAATCGGACCCTGTGATTCAGAAGAATTTGGAGAAAGTACAAAAAGGGGAAATCCTAGATTTTAAATTAGGGTCTGAAGGTGTATTGAGGTTCCGAGATCGTATTGTGATTCCGGCAGATGAAGAGATCAGAAAAGAAATTTTGGAAGAATCACATCGATCAAAGTATACTATACATCCAGGAGTGACCAAGATGTATCATGATGTGAAGAGTTTATATTGGTGGGAAGGTTTGAAAAAGGACGTGGCAGAGTATGTACAGAAATGTTTAACTTGCCAACAAGTAAAAGCAGAACATCAAAAGCCCTCTGGTTTGTTGCAACCGTTAGAAATCCCTGAATGGAAATGGGAACACATCACCATGGATTTTGTAACGGGACTGCCTAAAAGTCAAAAAGGATTTGATGCAATTTGGGTAATAGTCGATCGACTCACTAAGTCTGCACATTTCCTACCTGTGAGCATGAGTTTTTCATTGGAAAAATTGGTCAAGTTGTACACAGAAGAGATCCTAAGGCTACATGGTATTCCAGTGAGTATCGTGTCCGACCGAGATCCAAGGTTTGTCTCGCGTTTTTGGCAGAAATTTCAAGAGTCTTTGGGGACCAAGTTGAAATTTAGTACTGCGTACCATCCCCAAACCGACGGGCAATCGGAAAGGACAATCCAAACTTTGGAGGACCTGCTAAGGTCGTGTATACTGGATTTTGGAGGTAAATGGAGTAAATATATGACCTTGGTAGAATTTGCATATAATAATAGCTATCAGGCTTCGATTCAAATGGCACCTTATGAAGCTTTGTACGGGAGAAGGTGTTGATCTCCGATTCATTGGGATGAAGTTGGAGAAAAGAAGATTTTAGATCCTACAGCCATACCTTGGATAGAAGAAGCCCAGGAGAAGGTGAAACTAATTAGAGAAAGGCTTCAAATTGCCCAAAGTAGACAAAAGAGCTACGCCGACACAAGGAGGAAAGATTTGGAGTTTGAAATAGGGGACAAGGTTTTCCTAAGAGTTAAACCCTTGAAGAGCGGAGTAGTATCTAAGAAAGGTAAGAAACTGAAGCCAAGGTATATCGGACCTTTTGAAATTTTGAGGAAAGTTGGGAATGTAGCATACCAGCTGAAATTGCCTGCAAGCATGGCTAAGATTCACGATGTATTTCACGTTTCCATGCTTAGGAAATATTATCCTGACCCGAGCCATGTGTTACAACTGGAAGGAATTGAAGTGGATGAGACACTAACCTATGAAGAAGAACCAGTTAAGATTTTGGAAAGAGAAGTGAAGGAGCTGAGGAACAAGAAAATCCCTCTGGTAAAGATGTTATGGAGAAATCATGGACTGGAGGAAGCAACTTGGGAATTAGAAGAGGATATGCAGAAAAAGTATCCTGATTTATTTTCTTAGAAATTGTGAATTTTGAGGACAAAATTCTTGTAAGGAGGGGAGGATGTGAGAACCCTGAAAAATGGATATATAAATTAGTGCATATTTCATTTGCATTTCTTTTATTGTTCAATAACTTCTAGCATTACTTTTAATTGTTCACAATTAAGCGTGTAAAAATAGGTTTATGTGAAAAATACTATACTTTTCCAAAGTTATGAAATTTCTTGGTTTTATTTGCCTAAATTAATATCTTTAGGGTTGGATTAAATTTTCGCCTTAAAATAAATTATTTAAATTCCAATGATAAATTCTGTTTAGTGCCAACGATAAATGTTAAATTTTTATTACAAGGTCAAACTTGATTTTAATAAGAAACTAATAAAGTAAGAATGTTGGGAACCAAATAGTAAACGATAAATATTCGATAAAACGGTTTAAGTACACTAACGTATTATTAGGCCATCAAATCACACTTGGGGACAATTGTTGAAATTAAGATAGAATTGAGGATTAAGAAGAGGTTAGGGGGCAAAGTGAAAGGACCAAAATGCCCTTCGCAATTCACCAAATCTCCACTACACCGCAACCATCACCATGCACGGCCAAACACTCCCTCTTACAGCCTTCCATAACCGCCCCAATTGGCCAATCCTAATCTCACCAATTCCATACGTAAACCATCTCCACACTCCACCAATTCTGGCCTCAAACATCTTCTAAAACCGGCACCATACACATCCCTCTTTCTTTCACATATCAAGATACAATTCCAAGTCCTCTGCACAAACAAGACTTCGGACAGCAGCCTAGCACCGCCCATACCACCAATCCAAATCCATTGCCAACTCCACACTCAACCTCACCACACTATTATCTTTCCCATCTCACAAACACCAAACTCATTTCATCATCTGCACCACTTCACCGAGACCACAACACTTCCTCTCCACCATTACATTGTTATCATCGACCGAGAGTGAGGGAGAGGTCGAGCTGCTCCATAAAGCCGAGAGTGAGGAAGGAAGCTGAGAGTTGCGATTCCATTTCTGGTTCTGTCCGCAAGCATCGAAGAGGGAGGAGAGGAGGAGGAGCCGTGAGCAGACTTTCCTCTGCATTTCCCAAGCTCAGCCGGTAGTCATCCAGCTTCCACCATCACCAGCTGCAACCACTACAACCCAACCAGAACCAACTTACCCGTGTTTGAGGAGAAGAGCCGAGAGAAAGGGATAGACTTCAGCGTTCTGTCGAGTGAGTGAGCACCTAGTAAGGTAAATTTCTGGACTATAAAATGGATAACCAGTGGTAATATAAGCAAGCTCTGGACTTGCATGAGAGGACTTTAAGTTCGGATGACATAATTAGCTAGATGATGAATTGATATTAAGCTACCAGAATCTGGTTTGGAAGAGTAAATGGTTCTGCCGTATGCTAAGCATGTAAATTGTGGGATGATCAGAGGTTGAATTTGTGTTTAATCACCTGAAAACAAAATGATAAAGTCATGCATGTATTGTGGTACAATCGGATGATGAATTCAAGTTATTAGAAAAATTTCTGTTTTGGTTAAATGTCCCTGCCGAGTAGCTGAGTTGGAATCGCAGCTCTAATGTGTTTTCCGGAAATGATTTGAGCATGCATGGGTGATTAACTAATCGAATCTCGGATGATTATTATGATTAGAGTCATGCATGAATTTAATTAGCCTGGATTACTTCGGAAATAAAAATGAAATAGAACTTTTCACATGCAAACTCATCTGAGTGTAGTCTCACCAAGTTCTGGAATTATGAATGTGTTTTGCTTCTGCCGAGCTGATTTTTCTGGTCTGGATGTTAGCTAATTAACTAAGCAATTGTGCATGTGAGAATTACGGGCAAAATAAAAGGCTTTAACTGAAGAAAATATCGGATGATGAACTAAGGAGCTTAGAAAATTCTGTTTTGTTGAGAATGATTCTGCCGAAAGAATGGTTTGGAAATGCAACTGAAATTCTGTTTTTCTTGTGATAACCTGAGCACTCAAGTGTATTTAGCCGAGTAGAACTTAATGTTTATGATGTCTAGGACCCTGCATGTTAATTCGATGAAGTTGATTGATGAATTAAGGAACCTAAGAAATTCTGGTTTGATGAAAACCTTCTGCCGAGACTAACTAAGAAATGATTTGCTTAATTTGCTTAAGTATGACAAGCTGTGGTTACAATCTTAACTATCCAAGTGAAGACGAAATGCTTAAGGGCCTGCATGTTGAGTTACATGATTGGACAATGAAACTAGGAACTTGGAAAATAAAATGAAAGCCGAAAAATTGGTTCATGAATGATCATTCGAGAATAGTTGGTAAAATTTCTGGATTTGTGTTAGTTGAGTCTAATCGTAGCTTGAACCTGGATTTGATTTGAAAACCTCTACTAGCTAGCTACGTGTTTACATGTCCTAATAGAGTACCAAAAATTCTGTTTTAACCAAAGAAAATTCTGTTTTAGAACCATTGTTATTTCTGGAAATCTTGAGAGAAGCCGTGAGGTTTAAACCTGGAAATTTTGGGGTTTGTAACCATGGTTTAAATTCAACTCTTAAACTGGAAATGTTCATTATCTTGCTATGTGTTTAAATGCTGAATTTGAGTAACTAACACCATGATTAAACCAAGGGAAAAATTCAAACTAAAGTAGATTGGTTGCTGGAAATTTTGGGTGATAGCCGAAGGGGTATGAACCAGAATTTCAATATCGTTGGAAAATTTCAATTTGTTTCTGGAAATTTATTTTATTTCCTTGGATTATGGTGGCTCAGAATTTCATAAGAGATACAAATTTTAAGATATACAATTTGTTCAGCAATGAACCAATTAGTACATATAAAGCTGAAACCAAAAACGCTAGTATACAATTGCTGGAATTTTCGTTGAGATAGCCGAGAATTGAGTTGAAAAATTTGCTTGGTTCTTGGAAATTTTTCTTGAAAAATGATGCTTGGAATATGTTGTTTTGGAGCCCTATAAGAAATGTACGCTGGTTTGAATAAAAACTTTTGGTGTGAAAAGAAAAGAAAAAGGAGTTTTTCATAAGTGAAAAATGAAACTCCAGATTTTCGGAAGTCCCTGACCAGTCTCGATAAAACGGTTATATCTTGGTGTAGGAAAATCCGTTTAAGGCGCCGTCAGCGGCATTTGAAACTAGAATCATAGATCTTCGCCCTGTAGAAATTTCGTATTTTTTTACTCCATGTGTACTATTGTCGGTGAATTTTCAAAGTAAACTGTTTGGCATGAATGACCTGTTTCATTTTAAATCTCAACTTGAATTCGGATTGAGACCTTATATTACTAGTGGTTCAAACTCTTGACTGAATTGTGGTTTGACCCTAGGGTGTTCCTGAAATTTTCAAAGGATTAGAGGGTAAGAAGGTACTTGCTAAACGTATGCTTAAGCCTGGCTAGTGAAACAATTTCTACTCGTATTCCAATGTCCGCAAAGCTAATGGTCGGCATTATTTTTCATCGAAGCATAATGTGTCGAAATTGGTTGATGGTGGGCTCTATGAATTCCCACCCTGCATGGATAACTGAATTACTGAAATTGTTTAGAAATCTGTGCTACTATTTTGTGAAACTGTGAGTTGATATAAGTACTGATTACCAAGTGCTAAGTATTGACGAAGCCTTGGTAAATTTTCCTGCTTATGCTTAGATATAAATTTGTTGGAACACACGGCTAAGAATTGACGAGCCCTAGTGTTATTACTGTTTAAATTCTAATTGTGCAATATTGAGGAAATGTGATTTTGGATTGGAATCGAAAATGTGAGAAGTTGTACCGACCTTATGACTCCAAGTAAACGCTTGACTAAGTAAATGAAAAATATTTTGCTTTAAGTCTCGAACGGTACAGATTTAGCATCGTATTGCTAAACATAGTGTCTACTATTTTTGCCTTAGAAACTTGGGCAACATGACTTTTATTCCTTAAGTTAGACTAGCCTTATCAATTTGGGAAAATGATTCTCCCAGACTCAAAACCTTAGTTTTGTTCCAAATTCCTTCCTTCTTTATAAATCGTTTAAGACTAGTCGGAACTAAGGAAAATTTAAAAGGTGAAACTCGATCACTTTAGTTTTAAACGTAGAAACCTGCTTGGCAAGAAGAAAAAAACCTTATTTTAGCAACATTTTTCAATAGACCTTACCCTAAAGCCTTAGCAAAGATTTTTGTAGGCACAACCACTCCAATGAACTTTTTCCAAGGTATACTTTTAGCCTTGATATTAATTATCTTGCCGACTTATTTTAAGAAAATAATAATAGTATTTTCTTCGAGGAAAAGTATTCCAGGAATATTATAAGAAACTATTGTATGGTTCTCCCAAGCTCGATTCCAAGTAAAATATTTTGAGAAAAAGTGAACTAGCAGCATGCTAGAAAACTCTACATGTGCAAGCCAAAAGTTCCAATAGAAAACTTATGGCTTAAATTCTGATATTCTAGGATTTTACGAGGACGCGGAACTCGATCCTCAATCCAATATCTGAACTTCACTCTTGGTGAGTGTCCCTGCTTGTTCTATGTTATGTGGTTAAGCGCTTTATCAATTCGCTATGTGATAATTGTCAAAATGTAATAAATGATTTTGATCCATCGAAGTGAGCAGTGTGTACTTTATCGCACTAGCCGTTCGAGTGGTGACATGTGTGAAACATTTTCTACTGAATCTGTGAATCTAAATGTAGTTGCGTCGCTGGGTGAATCCCTCGACATCTGAATCCAACTACCATAACATCTGAATCTGTAGTTGCGTCGTTGGGTGAATCCCTCGACATCTGAATCCAACTACCATAACTTCTGAATCTGTAGTTGCGTCGTTGGGTGAATCACTCGACATCTGAATCCAACTACCAAAACGTCGTTGGGTGAATCCCTCGACAAATTTATTACGGGTATATCTCGAGTATACTGCGTCGGTAGATGAAGTTTGGGCCCAAAGCAGAGGTATGAATGGTGACGGGTTAGGATTAAAATAAG